ATCTTTCCGCTTATTAATTGTGATAAGCTACTTTACTATATGTTTCGTCATCTTTTAGGGAAGTTTGCTTATGCTATTAGGTAAATATAAGCACAAAAGCTTTCTGTTTTTATTCGTAAGCAGGGAGGAATTTTGGTAGGAGATGAATTATACCCCAATCTTGTAGGCTTAAATTATTCCTTGCTATCACTTTAAATGTTTTGTCAATTTCATCCGCAGTATAAAGCTCTTTTTACTGCGTTGTATCGATATTATTCAGGGCGTTCCAGTTAATATGTGATATCACTTATATCTATTGTTTTACTTAGCATTAAGTGATTTGGATCTGCCAAAATCTCCTTAGAACTTAGTCTTTTTAGAGTCTATTCTGCAATAATTTAAGTTATTTAAATTATATCGTCGATATGAATACCAAGAGGGTGTAGCGTACAAGAATAAATACGTTCCACAAGGTCTCCTTGACGCTCCGAAGGTCGAACCAACACTATAGAGCTAAAGGAGACGGCGACCAAATAGATGGCCACACCATCTTGGTTCTCAGATCTACGATCCGATTATTAGTAAGCTTTGAATTTTCGAAGATATTAGTGATAGGGTAATTTTTGCAATTCAATTAGTTCTCCTGTACGATTAAACTTTTCTCCTATCCATATTCTACTATCAATCAATTTTTAACACAGGAAGGCCAAAACTTATTTATGGACCCTGGGTTGGCAAGCCAGCATTCTTATATGACCTTCCAAAGAAGAATGAATGGGAAGAAGAGGAAGTGCCTCCGGATGCAGAGAAAGGTGAAGGAATGAGCATAAATTTTAAGCATGAAAAATTAGGTTTGGGTGAACATCCAGAAATTCTTACCAAGGATCATGAATACGACGATAAAGATGATGAATTCGAGTTTGACGAATATCTGGATATAGATTTTAATGATGCAACTAAGCTAAGGTCGGAGCATAGGCCTGACACATTCTTGGGTCCCATGCACACCCTTATGTCGGCATATCCAGTTGTCGATCGCTTAATTAAAGAGGCAGTTGGATTGTCCTATCAGTTGGAACCTACTTCTGACGAAAATATTCAAACTCCTAGGACTCGACCCACACTTGTACCAGACAGGGCTGCTGAAACATCAGGACCTCTCAAAACGTGAGTGACTTAGATGCCACTGAGGTAATCTGCAATATATTACCGATTTTATGGTAATCCTAATTTCTGACTAATTATTATTATTATTTCTTTCGGTGAATAATCTTAAGGCAGAGGTTAATTACATTAAATTCGTTAGTTGCATGAGAGTTCTTCTAACTCATACCTATCCTATAGAATTATTTATAACGTAGTTAAATAAATGTGATGAGCATTTCATCCTATGTAATTGACTAACCTCATTTAAACAATTAATGAAATTACTAAAAATTTCTTTAATTTGCTAATAAGTTGTGTTTTTAGATATTAATTTGACCTATCTATGGGCTACAGTGAAAAGCGTCTATTCGTTATGTTTGAATAAAGTTTCTTATTTATTATCAGGCGGGATCGGAACCGCCATCCACACTGAGTGATATCCTTTAAGGAGGTAAGGCTAAGTTGAATTTGGGGGCAATGTCAGGCCTACTTATCTCATTGTGTGGAAACTCATATATTAGTTCATAAATTAGCTTAAACGACCTAGAGTGATTAAGTATTAGTTTAAGATTTACGGATAGTCTCGAAACTACTCATACCAAAAATGAATCTAATATCAATTCTGTTGGTATTAGATTCACTAATCGATGGTTATTTGTAGATAGGAAAAGTAACTAGGCTTCAATGAATCTCCAAAGATAAAATTGTTGGAAAGCCTATCATTTCGTGTGAAAGTATATGAATAAGAGAATCGAAGGTCAATCTCACCAGAAAACGACGGCTTATTCCCATTATACTTTAGCCGTTTGGCTTCAATACGACGCTCACGTTAACACAGTCCACAAAACATCCTCCTTTATTTCGGGCGAAAGTGGGTTGAGCTTTTATTCATCATATAATGGACAAATTCAAAGTTGTAACTCGTTCTTGCAAACGTCTCACGTCAGTACTAGGTCAAGAAGACTATCCGGCCCTATTTTACCTCTTAAATAGCCTTAACTACAAAACAAAACTGTATAGACAAGTACAGACGTAGTATCAGGATCTGATTATCTAGACTTAATGAGCCGAGAAAAAGCCCTGACAAAGACTACGTATGTCTGTAAACAACCATGGTTGAAATACTGAGATGCAAGTTTTTAAGCGTGTAATTCAGGTTACGAAACTACCTATGCTAAGCTCTCAGTCTAAGTTCATTGCATAATCTTGTTTTTTGGTTCGGTTAATGAGTATAATCTAACGTGTTGGACGAGTGTGAGTGAAGTCTGAACCGTCAAGGAGCTGACAATTTGAGTCGTCGTCTTTCGAATTGCAGCTCAACATCCTCTATCTTCTTCGATTTATCAATCAAGCATAGGTAGTTCTTACTCAACTTTCTTCCATGTATTTCATAATCTATTAATTTCAATAGCTTCTTATCTTTCTTTCAACAGCAGACTTTCTATAATCAGCAAACCTACTTGTGTGAAACCATTTTATCTAATGTCCACTCTCTACCAGGACAGTTTGGCTTAGCTCCCTTTACAGGAATTTTTGTGCTCACCTAGTTTTTGGCAAATAGACCGACACCTCTCGCCAGCATAAAGTCAACCAAAGGAGCGCGCACCCTTGTTACAGCACGATCTCAACAATGGATGATATTTCTGTTTAAACGATCGCATAACCGAAGAAAGTGTTAGCATTTTTTAACCTTGTTTTTATCCCCCTAATTTTCAATAGTTCACTTATTTTTTTAGAAATAATTCACAAAGACAAAATTATGGTAGAAAAAAAATTCTCAACTTGTCTATCGTTGACCAAATATTATCCGTCTTAAAATTTAATCCTCAGTAATGAGCCACTATTATCAATTGGGCCCAAAGGATAATTATTTTCCAGGACTATATCTTCCAGCCGCTCCAATTCTTTAGTCAAATATTTACTATCTGCTAGCCTCAAACTACTAATTACCATTAAATAGAAAAATTCCAAAGAAAGAATATTTTCTATCGAACTTTAGATTTATAACTATGGTTGCAATTTTGAAGTCAATGATTATTGAGAGTATGAGACTAGCGGATAGTAACCATTTGACTAAAGAGTCGGAATGGCTGAAAGTTTTGTTCCCGGAAAATAATTATTATTTGGCATAATTGATAATAATATCTCTTTACTGAGGAATAAACTTTCAGACAGATAATCTTTGGTCAAGATGAGAGAAAGTGTTGAACCGCCATCCGAAAGAAGGTAACTCAAATTGCCAGCTCATTTGTGGTTTTAATTTCACTCACACTCGTCCAACATGTTAGATTAAGCTCATCACCCAATTAAACATACGAAATTATGCAGCTATATTAGGCCTATTCTTGGGTTATTTAACCTTAGTGACCCTTTACAGAGCATAAAGTAGATGATTTCGTAATTAGACTTACACATTTACAAGTTTACATCTCATTATCTCAACCATGATTCCTCACGGACCTACGAAGTCTTGGTCAGAGCTTTTTCTTGGCTTACTAAACTTTGATAAACAAATCCTGAGATAAGGCATTTTTTTGATCATACAGATTTAGGACTGGTATTACGTATAGACGTAAGCACAGACACAGACAAACACAAGCAAAAGTAGCATAACGAATATAAATGATAAGTAGCCAAACCATTCTATACCTGTGTTTGCCTGTACAGTTTCATTATTTGGCTATGGGGATAATTAAGAGGAAAAATAGGGTCAGTTAGTCTTCTTGACCTAGTGCCGACATGAAACTTTTACAAGAATGAGTTCCAGCTCTGATGATGCCCATCATATGATAAGTGAAAATTTATTACACTTTCACCCGAAATCAAGGAGAATGTCTTATGGACTGCGTTAACCTAAACGTCGTATTGAAGCCAAACGATTAAAGTACAACGAGAATAAGCCGTCGTCTTCTGGTGAGATCGAATTTAAATATCTTTTTCAC